TGTACATATACACATCTATACATATATACATACATACATGCATACATACATACTTACAAAGATACACATATACATGCATACATACATACATTCGTACACACATACATACATACATTCGTACATACATACATACATACATACATACATCATGTATGTATATATATATATATATATATATGTATATATATACATATATATATATGTGTGTGTGTGTTTGTGTATATACATGCATACATACATATATACCTACATATATATACACATACATATTTACGTACATACACACATATATTTACATATATACATATGTACATACATACGTATATGCGTACTTACATACATACATACATAAATACAATACATGCATACATACATACATATATACGTACATACTTTAATGCATACAAACCTACCTACATACACACATATGTTCACATATATACATATATACATGCATACATACATACGTATAGGCGTACAATATACGTACATACTTTTATGCATACAAACCTACCTACATACTTACATACTTATATTGATGCATGCATGCATGTATACGTATATACATCCATACGTACATAAAAAACACACATACACACGCATATATATATATATATATATATATCTATATATATATATATCTATATATCTGAATATATATATACATACATATATATCTATATATATATATATTTGTGTGTGTGTGTATACATTTATATATACAAACATAAATACATGCAGGCATATATAAATACATACGTACATACGAACATACATGCAGACATACATACATACATACATAAATATATATATATATATATAGATGATGTGTATGTATATGTATATGTATATGTATGTGCATTCGTATACGTATACGTATTGATATACTTTTATGTATAAACATATTCGTATATATATATAAATATATATATTTATATATTCATGGATATATACATATGTATTGCAAACTCTTAACATGTACATTCAAAGTGTTTCATGCATACACTCCACAAATCCATGTAGGTAGGAAACAACAGTATGGAACGATGGTCGCCTGAGCGTGGTACTCGTGGTGGTGAACGTAGCGATGTAGGTGACGATTCAGATAGGCGATGGCGTCGTAACAGAGACAGTGACCGTAACAGTAGGAAGGGACGGGACGAAAGTGTGGACGTGGATGATATGGGCAGGCGTAAACGCAAGGGAAGCTCTCAGAGTCGGTCATATGACAGGTATGTGAATGTGGTTCCTTATTGTGAATACGATATATTTCTATGTGTATATGCCTAGGTGAATATTTATATATATGTTTGTGTATGTATGTATGTATGTATATGTATATATGTAAAATGGAATATATATATGTGTGTGTGTGCCGTATACTGTGTCTGTTTTGGGTACATGCAGGCGGACAAGAACCTGTCACAATGAGCCATATATTTTGGTGGATGTGATTCGCTACATGCGTTTGTATTTGTGCTTTTGCGTTTGTGAGAGTATCTTGGATTACCTTTCGCCCGTACGAAAACCAGGGTTATCTGAAGCACAACGTGAGTTTATTCAAAAAATATTTGAACTTTGCGATATATAGTTATTCTTATGCAATTATGGGTAGTGTATGCGTGTTTTATATTTGAATTTGTAGCTTCTGTCATGTGTAGCTGCGCGCCTCTGTGCGTATGCCCCCATGTGAATATATATATATATATACAATTCACACATACATGTATAAATATAGATATGTCTATATATATTGGTATATGCATACGCACATATGTATATACATACATATATACAAACTACTTCTTCATATCGAAATCCCGCACACAGACGTGGCCGTCACGCACCCGAGCGTCGCGATTCCTTCGGGAGAGACAGAGATGTCGATGAGCGCAGCCGCCAGAAGTTCAGATCACGGTCGCCCATTTATGACAGAGACGATCGCAGAGGCAGAAACAACAACAACAATGCCGGAGGCAGAGGATACGATCGCACAGATAGAGGCGGTTCGTGGTATGTTTGCGTATGTGTTGTGGATGTGTTTTTGTGTGTATGTATGTGTGTTTGTATACGGATAGAGGCGGTTCGTGGTATGTTTACGTATATGTTGTGGGTGTGTGTAGATGTGTTTGTGTGTGTATATATGCATGTGTGTTTCTGTTGAGTTATTACGTATACGTGCGTCAATGGGGTTAGAGTGACAGTGTAAGAGGTTTGTGGGATATATATTCCCGGCCATATGCGATGAGACCGGCCACATGCGCAGCCTGCCGTTTCCATCTCAACTCAACGTTTAACGTTTTGGAAGTGGTCGCCATTGACAATGTTACCTCCACACAATGCGCGTCGTTCCTACGCATATCACCGTCGTGGTAGTGAGATCGCGAGGCATATGCTTGTCCCTGTGTAGTGGTTGACTACACACGTAGTGAATCATGCAACCGGTATTCTCAATCTAACGTTTTACCTATGCCCCTGTCGCCGTACGTATCCTCGCACCTGTGTGTATAGTACCGTCCCCTATCCACCAAGCAGACAGCACCACCTATACAAGTCTCTCATCAGACCACAGACTGACTGTACTGTTGTCGTCGTACTATGTCATGTGCGCGTATGACTTCGTCAGCTCTGTGTATAGACTATACACCGACGCGTGCGTGATTTCGCGTGCGTAGTAGTCTCTTCCACTCCTCGTGACCATGACATACCCTGTCATCGGTTCTAAGGTTTTAGGGTTTGAACCCCTCGCTTGTTCCCACGTATGGCCAATGTTTGTGCGTATACACGTATTGATCGCTCACCTCTATACATTAATAATCCGGTCTCATGTTTCAGCAGCACTTATGTCTCACCTGTGTTCACTGCTTGTATTCCCATCTGTGACGACTGTGTATGTGCAGGCAGCGTGGAGACTCTCGCGAGAGAGCCAGTCGTGGCCCACCTCGTGACTTCCCGATGAGAGATGGTTTACCGTAAGTTTACCAGACACCTGGAGATGGTCACTTATTGACGTCTACACATGCACACACACACATATATATATATATATATATATACATGCGTGTGTATTTGGATTTGGATCAATTTTGCGAATTCCAGTGGTGAGTGAACGTACATGATATATCGGGTGTATCTTCCTACTTTTATCCAATCACTTTCACGGTGACACGGAACAGAGTCGGTGCCTTGGTTGAACAGAATCTCGATGACGTATCGGTTTGTGATATAGTAACTTAATTTCTTATTAGTATCCTAATAGACACATGCACACACTCATATAAGCATATACAATGGCACACACACACTTGCAGTCTCTTTGACTTGCTATTAGGACATATACACAACACCTGTCATTACTGTATTCTTCATGCTATTAGGACATACACACATCACCAACCATCACTGTGTTCTTCATGCTATTCATACATACACACAACACCTACCATCACTGTGTGTCTCTACCACAGTCGCCCCATGCAGCCTCCGCCTCCTTCCAATGGCCCTGTGAGCTTCAAGATGTTCATGTCTAATCTGCCTGAGGACATAGACGATAAGACAGCCACAGAACAGTATGCGCAGTACAAAGTCAACTTTCTGCAGGATCAGATATCGACCTTCTTCAACGCACACAAGAATAGGTGTGTGATGCGTGTGGGCATATTTATTGGTACTGGGACGAATCGTTGTTTGTTTGTTTTTTGGAGTATGTAGTGAGATTTGGTTACAAGCTGGTTTATTATTAGGGTATGAAATTCACCTGCTACAAGATCAGATATGTCCTTACTTTATGTATGTATGTATGCATATATGTATGTATGTATATATATATATTTTATTTTATATATTTGTGTGTGTATGTATTTATATTTTATATATATGTATAATATATTCTTACACAATTGTTATTAAATTGTTACTGATCGCAGTTTTCCGCTAACATCTGTCCATGTTTGTGTGCATTGCCTTCTCACAAGCAATATTTCTGCCGTACACGTGTTCGCTGTCTCATAGTCCATGCTTGCCATTCGTATAAACGTTACACAGTGAATGGTTCATGGACGAATATCTGGAAGCGCGGGTGCAGAAGTACGACAGTGAACGTTTTGCTGTAGCGCAAGAACGCGCGCAAATACTTCTGGAGAAGGACACCCCATCGCACACGGATGATCTGGAAGGTAAACGTTAACGTTTACATGTCACTCGCCCTAGTAGTATACAGTATGGATACCAACCCACATACTGGCGTGTGGCCAATTCATACGCATGTGTTGGTATATCTCCACCTGGGTGTGTTTATAGGCTGCGTATGTAGGTGCTGTTGACGCTATGCGCGCTGTCTGTCCGTAGTGTTTGCTGCTCCTGTGGTAGGCACGTGTCTTTAACGTTCCACAACTTCACTCAATGCGAATGTCTGTTGCAGAGAAGTGTCATGCAGCCGCTCTTTGTTGGCGCTTGCCTGGGGAGGTGTACTTCGCGTACGTTTACATACTTGCAGCTGTATTCGCCTGTACCGGTTGTCGGTTGTCGTGTTGTGTTTATATATGAAATGAGTGTATTGAGTATAATAAGTATGCATATATATATAGGTATATATGCATATATAAATCCCGAATACACCTGGCCAGTTGTATGTTTATGAATTGCACCATACTCATCTCTACACTGTACCGGTCACATCCACAGACACACTCGTGAAGGATGTGTTGGGAGATCTGCGTATGACTGAGAACGACAGTGATCAAATGGTGAAGCTTATTGCTAACCTCAACACAGAGTACGACATACGAGTGAGTGAGCGAGCCCTGGAGACGTTTAACGCGGGACAGAAAGCCCAGGCAGAAGCCGATCAAGAGGTGTGTGTGTGACATTACGCGTTGTTTGTCAACGTATACATATTGCGTCGATATGCATGCATTGTGACATGCACATCTATTCTCTTCAGGCGTTGTTGTCCTGTTGGAGAGGCTGTGTATGAATATCTGTTGTTTTTTGTGTCTGTTGGTTTGTGTTATATCTTTGATCCTATGTGCTGCGCATGGCGTGTACGAGGCAAGTGTGTGCCAGAGCTCTGCAAGTATGAACTTATACACCTACGCATAAGCAGCCCAGCCACAGGCCGGCAGAGGGGTGTATCTACCTATGGTTATTTATGATTGTTTTTATCTCCGTATGATTATTTATGATTGTTTCTATCTACGTATGACTATTTATGATTGTTTTTATCTACGTATGGTTATTTGTGATTGTTTTTATCTACGTATGATTCTTTATGATTGTTTTTATCTACTTATGATTCTTTATGATTGTTTTTATCTACTTATGATTCTTTATGATTGTTTTCATCTACGTATGGTTATTTGTGCGGATATGCATAAACGAAGTTGTGTGTTTTTACAGATATGGATAAACGGAGTTGTGTATTTTCACAGATATGGATTAACGGAGCCGTGTGTTTTCACAGATATAGTATAACATTCCACTAACAATCTATTCACACTTACCTTATGTTATGCTGTGTTCATAGACACAAAACCAGGTTTGTGTTATGTCATGTTAATATGCCAATTGATAAACACAAGCCCTCAAATCCTACATTGTGAGTGATAGTAGAGTTGTATCCCATGGCCGTCCGCTACAAAATCATGTTTCCATATAAACCCATACGATAGCTATAGTCGTTGCAATCTTACGCTATTCTTTTTTAAGAATATGCATACATTTATACTTCAATACGTCCATACATTCCTTACTACATACATGATATCAGCTATACCCGATATGTTCATCTGTTTCCTTACCACCTACCACAGACCAAAGAGGAGGGGCGCAGAAACGAAGGTGCTGGCAAAGGCAATGTGAGTGATGACGACACGCGAATGTCTGGTGATGACGCGGATAAGGACAACGAAGACGGGGATGGATCTGACGCCGAGAAGAACTCGGATTTCCAGAATGACGCAGGTAAGAGGAAAAACTTGGTTTATGCTGTGAGGTTTTTATGGATGGCTTGTGACGAGAGTGTTGTAGACAGGCGGATACGGTTGTTGCTGAGGCAGCCTCTTTTCTGTGGTTTGAGGTTTTTGGACTTTTTTTCTCTTGCTTTTATGTCCCAGAAGGCCCTAAGTGCAATCTATTAGGTGCACATACGTCCCGATCATCCTGTAGGTGGTATGACCTCCGTAGACTCGCATTTGGACCGGTCTTAGTCTGTCTTTATCTCTCATACCTCCGCGCCACTCCGAGTGTATACCTACACTTCTTCTCATCTGTCTGTAACATAGTCACTATCGTCACCTGGAGTTCACTCGTTTGGGCTCATCCCATATGGGTGGGACTGTCAATTCCTGCTCACCGCTCTGACCAAAGACGGTCGTGCATGGAATTGAGTATTCTGCAGAATTACCGATCCTATTTTATGCGAATTGTAATACAAGTATCAATTTGGAATTTGGGTTCTCAATTTGGAGGTTTTTGAACATTGGTACAATACATTCGTGTCCCATTTTATTCTGATGGATATGTTTTGGTGCCATTTGTGCACAGAAGCAGACGGAGAGGCACAGGACGAACACCCCACACCGATGAAAGTGTGTCCGAAATTATTTGTAAAGAATTTAAGTATCCAGGTTTCGAGAGAAGATTTGGTATGTCCAAAAATGTTGTTTTGAGTCAGAGATTGGTTTCGGGTCGCGATAAGTTTATTATTTTGCTGCCCAGTGCGATGCGAAGGTGTACACCTGCAAATGTAGTGAGTCTCTGCGTACATGTGTCAATGTCTACTTCTATCCACACAAATGAATACAAAATCGTCCATTCGAATAGACATATTTCTATATATATATATATATATACATGTCGACTTTGGATCCTTCCTACTCACCTACCTACGCCTGTTCACAGATGGCAGCGTGCAGCGCAGCTGGGCCGGTGATCTGCCTGTCTTTTTCTAGTCCATTGAGTAGTAAACGCTTCATGCGAATGGCTTGGATCACCTTTGCCATTGGTGCGGATGTGAAGAAAATTTTAAACGCATTGCAAGGAAAAACGGTGAGTTTGTTTGTTCGTCTGTTCGGTGTTTCATTTTGTGGAAGCCCTAGGCCATTCTAGGCATATTTATTCGATACTGTGTAATTATAAGATAGGTTATTCGTCTTTATGGTCGTTCAGTTCCTGGGCCATACACATATATGTACATATATATATATATATACGTATATATTTATTTATATATATATATATATAGTCCCGTACTCCCGTCACTGCGCTGTTGCAAATGCACATTCACATCTCGCTAACTACTGAGGCAAGTCTCATAGCCATGTCACATCCATTCATATCCATTTGACTCCTGTAACGTTGCAGATAAAAGGATGCAAGTTAAGCTTTGTGATTAATAATCCGCCAAACACAAAGATCAAGGTCGCACCGTCACTCGCAAACGAACGATCACGTCTGCTACACGATTTGGAACAAACAAAAAGGGTATGGAAAGTATATATATTTATGAGTGTGTGTGTGTTTTTGAATACATGTATTATATGTAGCTAGACATATATCTATCTACTTGAGATCGCTTTGGGACTAACACATGTATGAATAAATTTACATGCGTATTCGTACAAAATCGTTAGACTTGTTTGTGTATATTCATGGTATTGACAATATTTAGCAGCACTCAATGTATAGTATTGTTTGTCGCCCTGAAATGTATTATTGCCATATAATAGTACGTGTGTTCGAGAGGTTAGTATTCTCAATCCTTTAAACATATACTCGGGTGGCAATGCGCAGTGTCGGTGATTCAACATATCTGGTAATTCATTTCGTTTTATTATGTACACGGTTATCAATATGGTTCATTATATATATATATGTATAAGTATAAATATATCACTCATGTGACTAAACGTATTTTTCCATATATGCCCGTAGTTGATCGAAGTGTTAGACCAACGGGCAGGTCTCTTCCACGGCGATCTGGACGATGATATAGACGAGGATGACCACAACACACGTACACGTGTGCAACGACTGGAGAACAACCCCTTTGTAGACACACACACACCCCTCAGCAGGTCAACCACGCCAGTGCGCAAGACGAAGAGCACAAAACACTCCAGGTATTGTGCTTGTACGATTGTGTAGATGTGCACATTGTATATATCTATTTATATATGTATATGTGTGTGTATATATGTATGTATGTATGTATGTATTTATATAATTATGCATATGTATATGTATGTATTTATATATATATGTATATATATATGTGTGTGTGTATGTATATGTATCTGCGTCGATAATAGTTCTTGTACAATGGTTGTATATATACATATACGTACATGCTTGTACAATGGTTGTATATATACATATACATACATGCTTGTACAATGGTTGTATATATACATATACATACATGCTTGTACAATGGTTGTATATATACATATACATACATGCTTGTACAAAGGATGTATGTGTCCATTATAAACGCATATATGTACGTGTTCCAATGTTTATTGATATACATTATCGTAAGCCTGGAGAACTTTGTGCAGCCAATTTTCATATTTACTCCGACTCCTTCCCATTCTCAAGAGACCATTCAAACGTACAAGGGAAGGGACGGTGTGCATATTCCCACTCATATCTTGGGACCCTTTTTTCGTTTAGATCGATCCAAATCGTGTAAAGAACTAATATTCAAAAACCTATTTCCGCTCGTATTTCGGCTTTTATTTTATTTCAGATCAAACAAAAGTAGGAAGCGTCGTGACAGCATGGACACTGGCGACGAGAATGACAGGTCCAGCGACGACAAGAGTGACAAAGGCGATAGCGCCGACGAAGAGGAGATGGCCGATGTATGTTGTGTAGACATGTGTGGTGTGGTTGGAGGTAGAATTGCAAACATATCACCTGAGCGTGCGTGTGTACGTATTACCTTATGGCGGGGACTCTATGAAGCCAATGCGTGCGAGCCTGGCAGATGCATTATGATAACGTACGTTGTGCTTATACTAGGACGTGTGTGGTGAGGATGTCCGTGTTATTGTAGTCACGTGTACCTACACATAACTAAAAGATACACATCACTAAACATGTACAATGAGTAGCTAATTGTGTATACTTATACAGTATTGTTTGGAACGCCCACGCGTGTGAATTACAGGCATACATATCATACATTACATATCATGTCATGTTATATGTTATATCATATGTTATATGTTATATATCATGTTACATATTATATCATATGTTATATATTATATCCTTTGTTATCAATTATATCCTTTGTTATTTATTATATCATGTTATATAGCATATCGTATGTTATATATCACATCATATGTTATATATTATATCATATGTTATATAGTATATCCTATTTTATATATTATATCATATGTTATATATCATATCAGGTGTTATATATTATATCATGTTGTATCACATATCATGTTATATATCATATCATATGTTATATATTATATCTTATGTATATATTATATCATGTTATATATCATTTCATATGTTATATATTATATCATGTTATTTATTATATTATACGTCATATATCATATCATATGTTATATATTATATCCTTTGTTATTAATTATATTCTTTGTTATTTATTATATTATGTTATATATCATATCATATTGTGTTATATATCATTTCATGTTTTTTGAGTGTCAATCACACACGAGTACAATGGCTACTATCCACACTTATATCTAATGCACACGTGTATGTATTACACACTTGTTACTAACATACGCTTTTCACTAGTATACACATATATGTATCCAATACACACACCCACACTACACAACGCTCACACACAGACCGATGATATCATCAACGAGGGAGGGTTCAGTGTACGGGAAGCCTTAGACCGGCAGCTGCTGTACCTACGACTGGTACATAACTACTGTTACTACTCGGGTGTACTCGCAAAAGATAGTGACGCGCTTGTGCGTAGTGTGGGGCATCTGCACGTGCGACCTACCACGGAGGAAGAGGACAGTAATAGCCGATTAAAGAGGAGTGACCGGGCACGAGAGCGCAGAGAAAGCCGGTCCGAAAATAAAGGGCCGGGGCAGCAGAGACGGGACAATTTGTTGACTAGAGAGACGGAGGAGGGTGCGGAAGCCTGGGCGAAGAGAGTGGATAAGAGGGTGAGTATCTTGTTTTCCGATGTGTTCTAGGGAATGTGTATATATATATTTGATAATCCATATTTTGGATGGATAATAATTATTTGAATATTCATAGTTATAGATCTACATGTATGTAACTGGATAACTATTATATATATGTATGTATGTATGTATGTATGTATATATATATATAATATATATATGTGTGTGTGTATGTGTATGTGTGTACTTGCAAATATATGTATGATTGGCATATATATGCACATACATACACTTAAATATATATATATGTGTGTGTGTGTGTGCAAATTACGTACGTTTTGCATGTTTACATATATACATATACATACATACTTACATAAACTCCTACTCACAAACTTTTTGGAGTATCTTTGCATACTGCATTTGACGAATCATGTTGTCTCGTATATGTTTGTTTAGGTGGCGGCAGTTTTGAAGCCAAAACTTGATGAAGATGAAGTGAAGAAATTGATCCGAAGTGAACGGAATGCTAAAACTGGTAACACTGCAGCAGCCGACGACGACGAGAATGTGGACGAAGCCGGTATGTGTTAGCCAGTTAAATCTATTGTATATATAGATGGAGCGTGTAATTGCCAATCGCATTGCTTGAAATTCAATTTGCATGTGAAGGTAATTGGTTGGACTTATAAGTGTCAGATATACTTATGGATGGTTTATCGCTCGTTGGAGTCTCTTCCATTGCACTTGCATCACCCCTTAAGTTTACGGCGGTTGCCATGCTAACTGACGGGAAGAGCAATCTTTCACGAAACCCGATTTGTAGCTCTCTAGTTGACCTTTTTTTTCTTGTTTGTTTTATCATTTATTTTGCAGGGGAGGGGGGGGCGGTTTGTGGTTCGCTTACTGTCTTTGGCTACCTTCACTTAACTTATAGTACTTGCAATCCCCTATGTATGTATCCCTCTAATCTTCTGATGTTCTATGTTTGTTTTCGCCATTCATTACAGAGGAGTGTGAGAAGGCCGTTGAAAGGTTTATAGACGAAAGCTGGACACAGATCGAAACAGAGAAGTTCAAGTGTGTGCTATGCTCAAAGATGTTCAAAGGCCGAGAGTTTGTTGTCAAACATCTGAACAAGAAACACGGTGACGAGCTACAGGGTGTCAGGAATAGAGTATGTATTCTCTGTGTGTGCGTGTACATTTACATATAGTAGGTGTTGGTATATACAAGGCGGCTTGTGCTTGTGTTGCGGTGAATCATGTGCCTATGGTTCATGCACGAATGCGTGCGCTGCGCCTCCTGCTTTTCGGGTAGTACAGTCAGAGACATTGGTGTAGATCTCTGTGGATATGCCCATGTTTCACGTCCTGTTGTAGACATGGGTGTAGATCACTGTGGATATGCCCATGTTTCACGTCCTGTTGTAGACATTGGTATAGATCAATGTGGATATGCCTATGTTTCTCGTCCTGTTGTTTACTGATGCTCTTGTCTTTCGTTGCGGACATGCGTGTGAACTATTCGTATTATATTAAACACAGTTGAAGCACACGATGGTGTACACACACAACGATTATCTGTATTAGCCTATGCTAACCCTACACGGCACCTGGGTTTTAGGGGTTGTTTCAAGCTACTAGAGGCTAACCCCCTAAAAATTTAAACCACCAGTATACTCGACAGCTGAATGCTTAATCCCTCAGAGCACATGCATTCAATCGTAGCAAAAACACACATCACTATATATACACCATGGTATTAAAGCCATGACTACATACCCTTTATCCATATATTTATACACACACACAGCTCCTGCTTTTCAAGCAATATGTGAGAGACGCAGATAGGGTCACTCTAGACTCACTGCAAGTGATGAGCAATTTCGGCAGCGGCAGATTCGAACAGAGACCGTTCATGCCAAGGGGTGGCCACCCCATGCATGACGGACCAAGAGGAGGCATGCTGAGTATGTCTATCTATTAAAATTAATTGATACCTATATATCTATCTATCTTATCTATTTTTTTATATATACATATATATATATCTATATATATAGTGTGTGTGTATGTGTGTGTATTTATGAATGTATGTATGGGTGTTTGTGTATGTGTGTATTTATGAATGTATGTATGGGTGTGTGTGTATGTATTTATACATTTATCCTTATATTAGTCTTTAGGTTGCGTTCTACATATGCATGGATATATGTGTACATACTTGAATTTGGTTCTCTTCGCTGACTCATATCTTGACTTAAGTTTTTAGGGTCTAGGGCTTTTAAAATCGGCCTTTAAACGGGATGGTTTTTATTTTGTATCACTGCCGCAATTTAGAGCCTGGACTGGGAGAATATGAGACACATACTTGGATATGAATCATTGCTCACGCCTGTGTGATTGCCTAAATATATAGCTTTGTACCACCCTTTTATCTATTCCTTCGCAATAACACAGCCCTGGTCGCGAGTTCTGTTCAAGTAGTATTTCAGTATCGAAGTGTGATTCATCGTTACCAATCCAGTATATATGTTTCATGGCACTATCTACATATACACTTGACCGTTGCCAAATTTAATTGGAGACTTATGCTTGCCTCCATTGTAACTCGCACCTTGCTCTCCTTTACTGCATAACCTTAGTGCGCCCGCCATTCAATGGCCATAGGGGGCCAAGACCACCGCCTCACATGATGTTCAGGACTGGACCACCAATGGGACAAAACGGTCCGGATTTCCATCATGGACAGCCGCAAATGTTCCACCCGCACGGACCTAGACCTATGCGACCGCCGGGGTATGTAGAATTGGCAGGGACATTTATATGTATGTGTATAGGTATAGGTATATATATAGGTATGTGCATGTGTATGCGATATATATATAAAGTATATGTGTATTACATTATATGTATATGTAGGTATTTTATTTTATTTTACCAGCATATATATTGCATGTGTATTCTTCATAATCTATGTATTTGCGTCTATGTGGGTCCGTATATTTTCTAGCCCATTTCTTGGCCGGATTATTGTACCTACGGATTGGCTCAAGATACTTCAGGTGTGCTTCTATATACCGGAAGAACCACACGTTCACCTAGATCAATATCAAGTTCTGGTTTCTGCATGTATGTACTGCGCGAGATGTTTCCATAGCAACAGTCCGTGTGTATCTTCCAGCAACTACTGATTATATATTGTTATCTGAGAAGCTAATGCAGTCATGCGCTTCTCTCATCGCACACAGCCCTATGGACCCACGCGGTGGTCGAGAAATGCGCCAATATACAGATTTAGACGCACCTGTGGGCGATCGCCGGGGACCGGACTTCCGAGAACTGGTCAATTATGGTGACATATAAAGAAGAGAATGCTTATGTAGATATATTTGAGCAATCAAATTCAATATTTCAATTGCAGTGGACTTCAATTGACAGACAAATCAGTGAAATCGCTATTAGGTGTTAAACTCATCATGTTCAGTAGATATAAATATCGTCTGAGAAACGTTTACGTCGCAAATACAGCCTACAGCGGGATCGACTTCATACGCATCTTGCTATATGTCTGATTTCGATGTCCTTTTACTATTCAAAATTACTAGTTGAGAATACCGTGGCGGTGTCACAGAGAGCCTGGAAACCCGTGGCAATTTCTCAACACTTGTATGCGTATTCTTTGAAAGACTACGCAAGTTGTCGGCGTCTATAGCTCTGTGCGACATGATTTTTTAGAAACCTTTCTTATGCGTGCATATAAAGATGCAAATCATTGATAATGCTCCAAAGACGGGCATTCTACTGGAGGCATAGAACTGAACTACAAGTGGTGGATAATCATGATTGTAGATAATTAAATTAACAAGTGTATCGTTGCAGTCTTCCAATGATTAGAGTGCGACCTGGAAAGCAATCAAAACTGGTACAACATACGTTTGAATCTGTTTAGTGTCAGAACAGTGAGGAGTGATACACTTGCAAACGGTTTGAAATTTTATATATTAAAAATTTTAAATATGTATACTGCTAGATTATATTTCATGTTGTGACTGTCATCCGTCCAGTTTCTGTGTAACGTTCGACATTAATTGGTGCCTACGGAGGCACTTCGCAGACCTTTCCTCCTCTCCATCTTGGACCGTATTTCCGTCATGCGTTGCTTCAGTTGCTGGTTCTCAATCTGTCTTTCTTGTGAGATCACAAGAGCTGGTGTAGCGGCGGGTGTGTCGGACCAAGTGACCTTGGGCGCCATTGTATCGTGCGCCTTCCCAGTATTGTGTTCTGTTCGATGTGTTCGTTCAAGCTCATACGACATAGCAGGCGGTGAAAAACTTATTGGACCGCTCTTAATAACCGTCGGCTGTAGATGGAGGGTGACTCCAGGTCGAACACCATACGCCACAATTGTCCTGTGATGACTTGTCAGTGCCGTATATGTAGTATGTTTAAGTACCAATTGCAAATGCTGTGGTGGAACTCGTAAGTAATTTCCTAGCGTAGTTAAGACGGCTAGTACTGGATCTGAGGCACAAACATTAATCCTGAACTTCTGGCCCGTCATTGACAAAACTTTGATTTGAAATGTTCCGGGTATTGAAGCACTGTTGTTATTAGGCATGATCTTTAAAAGTGTTCAACGATTGTGATATGTTGCAGTTATCCTTTGAGAGAATGTATGAATATATTTCCGGAAGTATGCTCTTTATATATCCCCTTCCCCAATGCGCATCAAATTTCATTTCAATTTCAATTCATTGATCGAGGGCATATTTAAAGCAGCGAGTATATGCTAGAAACTGTATTTATTTTTACTGAGGAATCATTATCCTTTTATTTAACGACGGTAGCATCGGTAGGCTACTATTTAAAAATATATATAAATTGCGACTCTAGAATCAGTCAGAGTCAAAATTTGAAAATTTCGGTATATTTCTATTTGGAAAAAAAATAGGAAATGTCGCACTGAATATTTATTTCTAGAAAATGACAGCAGACCCGGGCCCCTGTCGGCGGTTGGGACTTGGGGACATCAGTCACAGACTCAGAGCGTGAACTCTGGGAAATCTCAAGGCCTGCCCGCAAGTCTCAACTTGGACTCAACAAGTCAGTCTCTCATAGATCACTAATCAGAGAGACTCGGACTGTCAGCCTTCACAGTTCAGTGAGTTCACACTTCACACCATCACAGAGACACCCACACACACCAAGAAGTCAAGACTCAAGAGAAGACTCAAGTATCAAGACTCAAAAGTCAAAAGGATTTAGTTCAATAATCAATACTCCACAATAGGCTTCAGGGAGCGAATTAGTAAATTAATACATATAAAAAATCAACCTTGGCTATTTTCAAAACAAAATAAACTAAAATATATCAACAACAAAAAATTTAAAAGAGTGAAAGAAAAAACAAAACAAACAAAAGCGTCAAAAAGAATTAAAACCTGAAAACCAGAACCTAGAAAGAAACAAACGGAGCGTATCATATAATATTTAAAAACTGTCATACTGCGTAGAACTGTAGACTCATTACGTACAATGGCAGTATATTTTAAAATAGACCAATAGTCTATAGTCTGTGAGAACTTGAGTAATATTTAGCTGGATTTTCAATTTTGTGTCACTAATTGGTACTGCGCAAATATATTTTAAACAAAAAAACTCTCGAATTTCTGATTTCAAGGTCATTGGCCAGTTTTCAAAATCTGAGCATCGCAATCTAATATCCAATTTACAAATTTGTTTGTAAATATTTACGGTAGTTTACCTGACTCCAACTTTCCCACTTTCCAAGTTTACAGTGATTGTTTCTTTACATGTACGCTGTACATTGTACTTACTTATTTACTCGTATTTTAGTATTATCCGACAAGCCAGTAAAGCCACACGCAACTTCATACAAGCGAGCCTAAATATATCTATTTGCGATTTTATAACTGTAGTCTGTACAAAGTTTATTATAATTTACTGCATTTTGATATTTGCACTGTTCAAGTTATCTACAAAATTGCAATCCAGAAGTTGAAGTTTGGTTGAAGTTTGGTCTATAAGCCAAACCGTTCCTTACGCAGGCATATAATACGTTCGACAGTTTTCTAAGTGATATAGTGATGTTTACCGGAAGGAATTCAAGCTTGCAAGTCTTCAGACGACTTTGAATGCGGCGTTATCGCCAAAAGTTTCGTGCACTGCCTTTCTTTTCCATCGCTTATCGATCTAGTTTTGAGGTGCAACAGACAGTAATGCAGAAGAAACCCCCAATTTTTATTTTCGATTTAAATGTGGATATCGAGTCTACCCGTATTGTTCATATATTAGTTGAAATCATAGGAAATGCCCGTTATCATCGCTGCTTTGGTGATCCTCTGTGATATGATACATAAATAAATGTTCATAGAAATACAAATCGGATTGCAAACAAACGAAAAACTCATTTCAGACCAAGCTTTCTTTGGAAGCCTGTGACTATTCTGGAACTTTTCTGTAGTAATCCTTGCTGTTCTAAAAGACTAGTAATACACAATTTTGTATGACAGTTTTCTTAGTGGAAGATCAAGAATTGGCGTCTGTATAAATTGACTGGCGTCAAGTAGGACTTATATTAGTAAATGAACCTAACACTTAAAACTCGAATTCAGGGTAATACATAGTCTAATTCTAAGATTTAAGGTGCAATCGATGGCCGACTATTTTTTACCATATCCAGTATTTAATTGATATATATTTCTCTATTTTTGTAATGAACTGAAAGGACCAATATCTTTGAATTGATTTTTGCCGTTGGATAAGAGCACTGATATGCACAAGAATAACTGTCTGCTGATTTTCTTCTTTCCATCTTTGACCTAATTTCGCGCCATATTTTTCTTGCACAGAGCTGCAAAGTACATCAGTTGGTACCTATTGACGCACGTCGCAAGCATTTTCTCCTTTCCAACTTTGACCTAATTTCGCTCATACGTTTCCTCAGCTGCTGGTTTTCATGACGTCTTTTTAGTGAAACAGCAGAAACAAGCTTAGCAGCGGGTGTATCGGACCAAGCCACTGTGGGCACTGATTCATCTTTTAGCTTCATATCGTCACTCTCAGCTTGTTGGGTTTCTTCAGGCGGAGCCGAAGCTGATGGAACAAAGCAGATCGGGCCACTTTTTATCGACGTCAATTGTAGATGGAGAGTATCACCTGGTCGAACTCCATAAGATATAATTGTTCTGTGATGGCTGCTCAAGGAGGTGTAGGTGTTGTATTTGAAGACCAGCTGTAAATTTTTCGGTGGAAGATGTAGGTAGTTTCCAAGAGTTATTAAGACAGCTAATACTGGATCAGGTGCACACACATTTATCCTGAACTTCTGACCTGTTATTGATAGCACCTTAATTTGAAATGTCTCAGGTATGGTTGCTTGAACTTCAAACATCGTGGTCCCTCCGTTTGGCTTCTTGAGTATTAACTTTTTCTAAAGTGAGAAAATATGAAGTACAATTCAGACGAGAATGGTTCTATATACATATCAGTTTCAGGTATTCAGCAAGCCAAAATATCTCAAATATGTCGAAGAAAATCATTAAATAAATCACACAATTCGATATTGCATACTGCATACTGCATAGCTATTACTTAGTACATAGTTTGCATCCTGTATAGATTTTATTATTATAAATATTTAATTTCTACTCTTGTTGGGACTTTGGAGTTTGGACTATTGGAGCCTTGGGCTCTTGGCTCAGTTCACTAAAAATTAAAACCACAAACTCAGGAAGGCGAGTAGGCGACTAGGCGACAAGAGAGAGGCGAGACGAAAAATGACCTAGTCAAGAAGAGTAAGTAGTGCGCATAAGCCAATTATTTCAGACTATTATGTATGTATATTTATAACTATTCGCTGACTATAGCAGAATTGCTCTAGTTTTGAGCATAATCGTAGCAGGGAAACAGGCATTATTGGATATGTCTTATGATCAGGATGTTTTTTTACATCTCAGGACTCAGGAGTCAGGATATAAAAATTTGTCAATTATTCCTAGCCCTGGGCCCTGACAACGAACATTCAATTTTGAGTACAAATATATTTTTTAACAGAGCTGCTCATAGTATGAAATTTTTATAGTTTTATAATATATTTCTTGTACAATGACAAACTGAGTGTTTATTTTCTCGAATATATGGCATAACGAACTAGTTAGAAGTCTATTTACATATAAGCATCATCAATTGGTCTACATTCAAAATATTGTACTCTAGGCATTCCGACTTCAAATCTGAAAATAGAACATGGAGATATAAGTTAAAAATACAAAAACACCGTGATACACGTCCACAGTTTTGCTATAATGAATAATTCTAACCAATTACATCACTTTTTTTTACTTTTCTATTTTTCTATGACTCAGCTTTTATACTGTTTTTGGAAGATTTCATAATCAGACCAAATTTTTTAAATTGCAAAAAAAGAAAGGGATGTTCCTATGGCCGATGGGGTGGGCCCTTCCACTATTTGTGTGGCGCAGGGGAATATCATTGGCCGTATATATGTTCAACTCTATTCCTGCCTGTCGATTTTTTTTTTTAAATTATCCCCCTGTGGCCTGCGCCTTGCGACTCTGCGACTCTGCGACTCTCCGTCTCTGCGAGGCTGCGACTTTTCACTTTACGTTTTACGAGAGGATGCGAGGCGCGAGCTGCGGTAAGTTCACACAAAAGGTATTTTATTTTGATGAAATCTAAATCTAAATATGCATTCCAGAATCCAGAATCTAATGAAATACAGCATAGTTTATAAATAGAACTTTAGAAGGGACAGCGACAGGGCCAAACCACAAGTCTGTCACAAGACACAGAGGCTCAGAGCTATATAGAGAGTTATTCGGCCTGAGGAGTGTTGGCTGCTGGGCTCTGTGCCGTGGACACTGGACAGTGTGGTCTGTGGAGTGGCAGTCTGGCACTCCGGGATTCTGGGTATCTATAAAAAATATATTTTTTAAATATGTATCAATAAACTATTAATATACTATTATGTCAATCTGCCAATTGTTTTGTTTATTCATATTTTTGCATATATAATTATATATATAGAACAGGCCATACATCACATCATTTAAGATACGTATTGTACGTTTTCTTCACAGATTTAGAAAGAGTCCTTCATCCTATTTCCTAATTATGAATCTATGTCCAAAATTATTTAATCTTCATAATTGATAATTAGCATGAAGAATAAGATATTCCCGATTTTATATCACAAATTACATAAAATAAGAATAAGGAATTCTTCATTGATGAGCAACATTAACATCAATTTTGCTATAGGGATAATATTCTTTATTTCAAAAATGGCAAGTATGTTTTCTTTAACATTATTTCTTATTAAGAAAGAAAAAGGAATATATATATTATTAGGATTAAGTTATCATTTTAAATCCATATTCCATTCTTAATATGTCATGCGAGTGACACTGTGACAGACATACTCCTGGTGACTCATCGCAATCAGGCCTGAATCGCCTGATCACATTTCACAAGTATTTAGACACAGAACAATGAGAAGCTGGGAATACAGAGTTACAGACACTGTGACACACACGACATTAATTCATTATGTCCCACTGTCACAATATACACAGTCACATCAATATGGAATCCACTTCCCGAAGATGGTGATTCTACACGCCAGCGATGCTGGATGCCTTAAATGAACTACCTAAGGAGATGCAAGCAATCTTACACTTCCCTCCATTTGATCGGCGCTACAATTTTCTACTTATGGACACATTCATGTACAAGTGTCTGGGTGTGTCGGGCACGCAGGATCCGAACTTGTATATGGATATGAAATATACATGTTCAAGTTTATAGAGGCCGGCAAAAATATACAGTGGAAGATACATCCGAGTGGTACACTATTAACGGTTGCATAGGTGCGGTATCAAAAGATACATACATAGAATTAAATGATCACCTCCAAGTCGGCAATGCAGCTGTAGTTATATTGCAAGGAAAGTTATACGGCGATGTAGATTATCTCATCCGCGTTCCACTACTCGTCATACTATTAGAGGGCAGTGTTGTTTCGATTTAAAGGCACGACCAATTGAATTGAAAACCTTTGTACGACATCATGAATATATATATATATAACACATACATAGACATACAAACACACACACATAAACATACATACACACATACAAACACGCACACACACACATACTTACATACATACATACAAGCGCACAAATATATACATACA